TGGCATGTAGTGGATACTCCGAAAATACCATTTTTACTATTTAAACTTTATCTTTGTATAGATCATCATGGATGCATTATAGGGAGCAAAATGATTTCATTGTTGGCAATACTGGGTTAAGTTTCTGTGTTAATACTGGAGAGCGAATTTGCTTGTGACTTGTTATACCCAGAGATAAAAATAGTTTGTTTTCCCTCACATCTGATGAAGAAAGCATGTGTTTTTGATTCAGCTTTAAATGCTGAGGCAGAATTTCTGTTGCACAAATGTCAGCTCTCACTTGTTAAAGTTTAAGTATCAGGGTTGTGTATGATGTTCAGAAGAAGAAGTTGGGGCCAGACAAGCTGCTGGGAATGGAGATGAGAGCAAGCAACGGACCTCAGTTTTTATTCAATTATTTCCTAATAAAAGTTTGACTCTTTTTGTTTAAAGTATGTAGAAAACTAGCAATAGATTGTTATTTAAATATTTGTAATGCTTGCTTTGATCTTAAAAATGCTTCACAGAAGTACTTTTTAATAGCCTTCCTACTTGTCAGATTGACTTTGGACATCCTTATTTGTAGATTCAAGCTGCTCATTCCCCACCACATTCATCAAGATCCCCTCCTTCTCTGCTCTTTACAACCACTGTCACCTCTGCTATGACTCCAGGACTGACGAGGGGAGGCACTGTGGGGCACGAAGTACTTTACCCGATGCTCAGCTTTTGATTAATGGGCCACAGCCTTCCTATCTCTTGAGACTTCAATTAGTCAAACTCTTTTCATTATGAAAGATAAGGCTGCATTTAGCAACAGGAATGAAGACAAGGGAGTGGAAGAAATGCAATGTTTAAAGATAAATCAATAAGCCATTGCTACACTTATTCGAACCTGGTTTTGGATGACTTTTGGGCTTGAATAGACTGAATACTTTTGTAGGCTTTTCCTTTTGATGTGATTTTCCCCCTGTCATTTCCAGATTGGACTAAAGTTGGTACATCACGTGACTCTAGACAGCAAAGGTGTTCTGATGTGATTGATATTGTGGAAGCAGAAACACTTGCAACCTGAGAGTGCCCAGGGAGGAAGGAGGGGGATAGGAGGCCACAGCGGCATGGTGTCTTGCCCAGAAAACACAACAGCAGGTGCAATGCAGTTAGAACAGTCCTGATTCTTCCAAATGAGGATAAATGCTCGTTGCTTCTTAGCAGGAACCAGGACAGAAGAGAATATATCACTCTGTGGCTGTCAGGGAAACACTGTGAGGCAATACAAGTCTCTTGGGTTGGGTGATTAAGTGGAAATGGCATGGAATTTTTCAAGAGGCACAAGGTGTGCAGGCCAGGATGCCCTGAGACCAGGCAGAGTGAGCAGCAGGGCAGCAGGACCGTCTTATTGCGCTCACGAAGGCTTAGGCTTTAAGAGTGGGAGGTGGTCTTCAGAAGGTCGAAATTAAGACAGCTTTTAGCAGGGCCTGGCTGTCTACATCCTCATATCAAATCCAAACAATGCAGCTTCCTTTCCTCTTTTCTGTCAGTTTTAGGCTATGAGAAGAGTAGAGGAAAATTACATGAAGCTCTTTGGCACCCATTTTTTTAAGCCAGTTGTGTGATACAGGGTAGACAGCACTGATATACCCTTAACCCACCTATCACTGGCACGGGGGCCTCAGCGTGATCACAGGGCTCTCATGTGGTCCTCAATGCCCCAGTTCCCAAGATTGGGCTCTGCTGTTGGTTCTTATCCCATCTTGTTCGGTCTCACCCTCCTCTCGGAGTCTAGGGTCTATGCTAGTTAATGATGGGGCTCTGCTTCCTCAGGTGCAGATGTCTCTGGGTAAGCATATGCCCACTTGACTCAAGACGGCTGGGATTCCCCACTGCTGACCTGGGATTCCCCACTGCTGACCTGCACCCCTAACTGGATCTTACTGTCCCTAAGAATCCTCAGGATCATCAACTTGAGCCTCTCTGGGTGGATCTTCTGATGTTTCCAGGTCCCTGGGGACTGGCCTCCCAGCTGCTATCTGTAACTAGTGGTTGGATCTTATTACTTGTTCTGCTGTGCACCCCCTCTGAATGTTTGCTTAGGGGCTGGAGTACTGTCATGGGCATGCTAAGTGACAGACCATTGCTGCCATCCAGGAGTTCTCCTCTAGTTGAGAAGACAGGACTTATATAAGTACAGTGTATACAAGGTACCCTTTAAAATACTTTAAATAGATACAGACTTTTAAAGACAATAGAAAAATTACAATAGACCTACAGAATTAGTTGCCAAATACATTCTACAGACAATTGCTGTAAGAACTTGGAGAGAAATTGGAATGATCAGAAAGGGCCGAATTTAAACTTCTAATCTGGGAAAAGAATTATGGATACATTTCGTATGGGCAGAAATGAGAGAGTGAGGAGAGAGTCCTTATGGGCTCAAATGAGTCTCCCACAGATTCCTATGTTGAAGTCCCCAAGACCTCAGAATGTGACTGTATTCAGTGATAGTGCCTTTTAAGGCATGGTGTGGTTAAATGAGGTGATGAGGGTGGACCCTAATCCAATAAAACAGGTATCCTTATAAGAAGAAGAAAATGGGACAGAGAAATGCACAGAGGAAAGACCATGTGAAGACAAAGGGAGAAGATATCTATCTATAAGTCAAGGAGAGATGCCTCACAGGAAACAACCAGCTAACGCCTCTATCTTGGACTTTCCAACCTCCAGAATGGTGGGGCAATATATTTCTGTTGTTGAAGCCACCCCATTTGTTTGTTATGATTGGCTAGGACACTAATATGATGGGGCTAGAAATGCATGGAGCTGTGCTGTATCTGCAAAAGCAGGAGCATACTGGTTGGGAGAAGATCCTTTACTTAAAGCAGAAAAGTTCCTGGAACAAGAATATGATGAGTTGGCAGAAGGACTCCGTGAACAAGTTCCAGCAGCAGATGGGCTGCTGGGGACAGGGACAAAGAGCAGCGCACCAGAAGAAAAAGAACACCCTTTGCCTGGTTGACAGTTTTGCTTAGGGTATACATTCCGATGGGTTAAGCATTGCTCAATGCTATCATAAAACCAGCTTTACTTTATGGGATTAATCAAGGCCTGGAAGGCCCTCAGGCGCTCTTAAGAGGGAAAGTCAACAGGAAAGGAACAATAAGGGCAAGAGACAGAAGATGCAGAAGAAGAGAAAGAGAAGGTGACTTTGCTGGGCTCAGTAGAGACTTTTGAACCATCAGAGAGTGGTAAGAGGTGCACACCACGGAGGCTGATAGAAATACTGCAGCCACCCACTCTGACCACCAACTCTTTTCTAAAATGCGGCTGCACGTTGTGTTTGTACTTGGAAGCAATTATATAAGAACAGAAAGGTAGCACTGCAAGCAGAGGGTAAAAGTCCATGGGGGCCTTCAGAATGTCCTCACCCTGCTGGCACCATCTCCCGCCCTGGGCTCTCTGGAGGCTGTGGGCCTGGAGCTCACAGAATCAGGCTGACCTGGGAAGAGCATGGAGTTGCTGAGGGCAGCCCCATCTCATCACCCAGAGCTATGCATGGAGCATGGATTCCATGGGAAATGGCACCCTCTGGAGGAAGGGCACCCACCCCAGCTTCTTTCACTGTTTGTAACTTTAGCAAGAAGGGGACAGTGGAATTATGGAGAGGATGGGATCAGGAAAGGAGATGGGAAAGATGAAAGGGCATAGGACCAAGACCAAACGGGACAAGGAAGGGAAGGGAGGGGAAGCTGTCATGTGGCATCAGCCCAAGGTAGCAGTGGTGTTATTACTGAATGGCCTTAGTATTTCCAGGTTCTTCCATATCAGTTCTGCACCCACCACCGTCCATGCCCCACCCCAGAGCCCTGCTGTGGAGTCTCCTCTCTCAACACTGTGAACACTGTGCCTTTGGCTGCAGGAACTGCATCTTATTTCTGATTGGGAAAGTCTTTCTCTTCCTTGTTGCCCATCAGGACTGGAGAGAGGAAGGAACAAGAGGTCCCTCCAACAAAGTGTGTCAGCTCAGGGAAACATGAATCTGGTATTCCCAGGGGAGGGACAAATATGCTTCCCCATAGTAATATCATTTCTATTCCAGTTAGTCAAAGAGAAAGGAAAAATAAGAAAAGATGAAGTGGAGAAGGAGGAGAAGGAGGAGGAAGAGGAAGAGAAAAAGGAGGAGAGAAATTCTGCATCCTATCTGTCATTTGGAAATGCCTGTCATACCCAGCATGCTTTCTGAACCCCATGACTCTTCTTGGTGAGCTCCAGGCAGGCCCTCAAATGCCCTGGTGTGCGGTGCCATGTCCAGGACTCAAGGAGCCAAGTGTGGCCCTGAAATTCTCTTGAGGGCCTCTGGAGACCTCCACTTGGGCAGGTCCCAAGGGTCTGGGAAGAATTTCAGGTTGGCCTTGCTCAAGAGGTGTGTATTTATTATTGCTACTCTTAGGGTCAACCAGATTGTGCCGTGGGGGTTTCCCTGATGAGGTGAGGAGCTGAATGATGTTGAGGCTCCCTGGGCTCCAGTGTACCTTCCTGCTCTACGGACGACAGCAGTGGGGGTGGTAGACGCTCACCGCTTATCCTGATGCCTGCTTGGAAGGTCACGACAATTCATGGAGTGGGGCCACTCTGAATATGGACTTGTCACTTTATCCAGCAACTCATGCAGGCTGAGAACTTGAATTTAGCCAAGTGGAATTGTGTCAATGGCATATGAAAAAATATTTATATGTTGAACACCGAAACCCATTGTTTAGCATCATCTGTGCTACACTGTTAGCTAGTAATGGCATAGATCATGACGGCAAATTATGGCCCATGAGCTCACTCCGACCTGCAGCCTAACCAGGTTTTGTTTGTTTGTTTTGTTTGAGAGAAGAAGGGTTTTTACATTTTAGAGGGTTGTTTCCCCTCCCCCCAAAAAGGCTAAACAAATAAGAATGTGTGATAGAGACTGTATGACCCCACGATGCCTAAAATATTTACTATCTAGTCACATACAGAAAAGGTTTGCAAACTCCTAAGGTACATTAAATAGATTTTTATTTTTTGGTTCATCTGGGAACATCCTCCCCCTCCCCCATTTATAACAATGCCTCTTGGAAAAATGCTTTCTTGACTTTGAAATAGATGAACCCGGACTCCATCCAGCTTGTAAGCTGGGGACTCTCTGTGCCTCTTTTTCATGCCAAGTGCAGGGCAGGGTGCAGGAGAGGTTGTTTGCTGCTGCTGATGACCAGTGGGTGTGCAATGACCCACAGGCTGACTGGGAAAATAATTATTCCCCAAACTCCCTTTGGGACCTCTGCATTCCTGAGGACATTAAGGTGACAATCACTGCCTTACATGTCACCCTGTGGAGCAAACCAAGAGCCTCCTGCCCTGCATATTTCCTTGGCTCCGCTGCTGCCATCTAGGGAGAAAGAACAGAATCACCTGTGCTTGTCTGTCAGTCAATGACAGAAGCATAGACAAATATGCCCTTGGCCCCTACAACAGTGGCATGCCGCCCAGCCATGGCAGAGATAAGGCGGGAAAGAAAGTGCCAATAGAGCTGGGATTATAGGTCAGGGACAAATGAGTGAGATATGAAAGTCAGAGTGTCGAGAAACACAGTGGACCTGGGAAACACTGAGGTGTCATGGAAAAAGGAGTCGGAGGCTGGCTTTGGGGATATTCAAATAAACCCTTAAATCTCCCACCTCCTCTTTTCTTTATATGCTAAAGTGTAGGTAATAATCTATTTCTTCTCCTTCTACTGCACAGGGATGACTTAAGATAGGCACAATTACTTTGACAAATATAAAGTGCTATATAAATGGACAGAAATAGTAAACTCAAGTTGGGATTATCTGTCTTAGCTTTCTCTCTACTGCATTTGAATGCACCTATGGGACCCAGGCTTTTGAAGAAGCCAGTGCCTTCATGTTTTTTCTCCAAATACAGTGTACATTTGCTCTTAAATTTTCTGCCTAATTAAGTCTGTAGTTTTTATAGTTTAGTAATAGTCATTTTCAGCTTATAACGTGGCTCCACTGAATATGATATGGAGAAAAAGTAAAGTAATAACTCCTGAGCCTAAAATAATAACTGAGCCACACAAAAAGGAAAGGCAATTATTTTGTCTTTTGAAATGAATAAGCCATAATCTTTAGGGCAGTTCCTTGTTTATCAGTTGCAGCAAGGCATGACTCAAGCATCCTGCTTTGAGTGATGTCTATGGTAAATCTTCCTGCTTCTAAACCCCTCCACCCCCAAACCCCACAACCTTCCTTTTAGGTGGGAGAACCAGTAATGCATGTTTCAGCAGCAAAGCAGAAATGACAATTTCCTGCATAGAGTAGATACGGCCCATTCTCAACCCCTCCTCCACGACATTTGGGTCTGGGGAGCGCGAATGAGCTAATGCTGATGGGAGCAGGGCTGGTGTCCTCCTCTGAAATCCTAACTTGCTTTTGTCAGCCCAGCCCCACAACGGTCATCTCCACTCACTCCACTCCCAGGGGTTCTGGAGGGCCAGGAGGCCACAGCTGCCATTGCTTTCTGAAGATGGTGGGCACCACAGCAGCCTGGCTCAGCCCAGCTCCCCAGCACAGTCTGCAGACACGGAGCGGTGCAAACAGTGTTCCAACTGGGCTCCACTGGAGCTGTGTGCAGGTAGTTTCATGGTTAAAAGTCCTAGTAGTGTAAAAAAAATCAGAGTAACTGGTAAGCATACCTCTGATGTCTCCGTATTTGCCTCCTCTGCTTTCTTTTCACCTGGTTTTTCCTTGCAGAGTTTACCTTGGAGAGTTTACCTCTCATCTGCTTGGGTGCCCTTTGCTGATGAGCAGAGCTCTTTCTTTAATTAAGTCAACAAGTATTCATACACACAGGCAGCATCATTTTTGGCTAAAGGACCTGAGCAGAGCAGCCCCAGAAGCAATTGAGAAAGTCTGTCAAGCTCTGATTAAGTAGCCGTGATCAAAGAGTGAACAATTACCTGCCCAAGCAAATAGTTCCTAAAATGTTCTCACTCCCCGGTCTTAACCATGAAACCTACTGGGCCAGAAGGTCAGGCTATCCAGTGTTCACTTGTGAAAAGAAATTAGGAACAAGCGATGTCACATAATACATAGCCATAACTTCCAACTGGCTCCTAATTTTCAGACTGCCTAGGTCTCCAGCTACCTGGAGATCAACATTCTGAACCCTTTCCCCACGGTGGCATTATAAAATTCATATGCTCGATATGCTGTCTGCAATTCTTGGTGAAATATCTATTCCCCTCTGTCCAACTAAAAAAATCCATTCCCCTCTGTCCAACTAAAAAAGTAGTTGGAATACAGGTGAGTGAGAGTGAGTTATGTTGTATTTGTTTTCATTTATTTTTAAAATGGATGTACTCCCCGAAAGTGTTTCTATGAACTGTGGTTGGTCATCAATAACTTCAATACAACACCCGATATGTGTCCTGTCTGCAACTGCATTTTACTGTTCTTGGCCAATGCGGCCCCTTCTGCATTCTCTTCTATGCTCATCTTCCCCCAACGTGCCATTAGTATGTCCCCCTTGCAAGGCCTTAATCACATTCCAGGCCATTAACTCCTAAAAATGTGGTGCAGTCTGATAGTTAGAAGTGCAGACACCAAACCCTTCCACAGATGCCCTGCTCTTGGGTTTGACTGGGCTGGAGATTTGGCAGCATGTTTGCCATGGTTAATTTGGAGGCAAATCCCAAGGAAACAGAACATTAAAAAGTTTGGATATGGCTTGGCATTCTTAGCACAACCAATCCAAATGGGAAAACTTTTACCCCCATTCTCTTGAGGAAGGAGGGATATGGAAAATGTGCAGGTTGAGAATAGGGAGACCTAGGTTTAAATCATGGTTCCCCCTTGGCCTTGGGCAAGTCCTTAACCTCTCACAATGATGGGATTTTTATCTGTAAAATAGAGGTAGCAGAGTTTCCAGGGAGTTTAGAGGCAATGGGGGCAAAATTTCCTGCAGATGCCTGGCACACAGTATGACCTAACAGAAAAATCTTAAGAGAATATTTGTTTACCCAAACACTACTGTCTACCATGGAATATTTATTTTTGAATATTTTGGAGAGTGTTAGACATGCTATGTGACTACTATCCTCTTGGATAAGACATGAGAGAGGCAAACGAAAGAAAACTGACGAGTAAAATGCTTTTCTGAAATCCTTGACATAGTCTGGGGAAATTTTTGAATAACGAGATTCAGGGTCTCTCTTAATGCATGCAGTTTGAGTTGCAGAATAAACTCAAAATTTCCCTATCCCATAATGTCAGAATAAACTCAAATTTTCCCTATCCCATAATGTCATGTTGATTTTTGTGATATTTAGACAATCCCAAAGCAAGTACTTTTTATAACACATTAGAGAAGACATCGTTACTCTGGGTAAATTCCTCAAACTCCAAATAGAAGCAGTAAACATGTGAGTATAAATATGACAATCATTTGATAAACTGCAACAATTTTAGATATTTTTTGGCATGCCTAAAGGTACAGAGATTGAGGGGGAATGAGCGAAAAGTAATTCAACTCATATATTGTTTACCCCACTTTGACTAAGTTTTGGTTGACGTTATCAATTTCTTGTAAAATTGGTGTATCATGCTATGGGAAAGGAAAAAAATGTTAAAAGTTTACCTCCCTGGAGAGAGGGAGCTGGAGAAGAGTGTAGCAGACAATTATTTACGGATAGTTTTACATGGATACAATTGTCATGGTTTTAATCTGATGACCGAAAGATTCTCTAGTTGTTTATTTAGATTAGATGTGGCATTAGCGCCAGATTTCCTGTGTTTCTAAGCTTTCCCATATCTAAAATTTAAATGTGTCTGTAAAGGTGTTTAAAGGATCATCTCTAACATGGAATCATAATTCGCTGAAGAAAAATGATAGTCATTCTTCCCGTGGGGACGCTCTTTCTGTAAGGAGGAGCGGGGCAAGTGATTTTCTTACTCAGATTCTGGACCAAACTCTTGTCAGCAATGAAACTGATCTTTCCTATCAAGGCCAAAGAGAAGCGAGGGTTTGCATATTCAAGTTCTTCCTAGATGCCTGCCTCTATAATAGGACATCCACATCTGGCAGAGCTCTTATGGGACACACAGAGAGAACAGAAGAGTCTAAAAATCCAGCCAACATCTCAGTGCCAGAATCCAAGTTCTGAACACAAGGCTGAATATGTGTCTGGCCAGTAAGAAGACACTCTTCAGAAAAAGGCTGAAAAAACAGTCACACTCCAGGTCTCAACACAACCTATAACAAAACTCAAATAAACATACAAACATACCCTCCATTGCAACGTGGAAAGAGATTTGTTTTTTTAGACAAGGATTTAAGGAAATTATCATTTTGCTGCAAGGGAAGAAGAAAAGGATGATGAGGCCACCACTCTTGCTGTGAAGGTTAGAGCTGCTTTGAATTTCTTGGAGGAATTACCCTAATAGAGGAAAGAGGCTAGGCAAATGGTCTTTAGTTTTAGACCACTGATTGTTGTCAAGAATTTTCCAAAAACATAAATCCTATTTTAAATCCTTATTGTGGAACGGCAGCCATATATAATTTTTGCATATAGTTACCATCTTCCTCATTAGTAAACTATAGCTTGAGCAGCCCTAATCCGAAAATCTGAAATCCAAAATGCTCTAAGATCCGAGATTGTTTGAGCACCGACATGACGCCACAGGTGGGAAATTCCACACCTGACCTCATGTCTATGGGTTGTAGTCCAAAACAGTCAATTAAAAATATTGTATAAAATTACCCTCAGGCTATGCATATGCAGTGTATATGAAACATAAATGAATTTTGTGTTTAGACTTGGGTCCCATCCCAGAGATATTTGATCATGTATATGCAAGTCTTTCAAAATTTGAAAAAATCTGTAGTCTGAAACACTTCTGGTTCCAAGCATTTCAGGAAAGAGATACGCAAGTTCTGTACTGAGTTATTATGGTTTACCAAAATTTGGTACACATAAAGCAAAATATAGCATGTTCCCCAAGTTCTTGCAGCAAAGTAGGAATAGATGAAGTTGAGTTGACTACTGGATCTTTTTCCAGAACAAATGGGCTTCTATCAAAAAATGTTTGCAAACTCCTGCTTTAGACAGTTCTTTGGTGATCCATCAGTATCTCTCTGAAGCTAAGCATTAGTATATTTCAAAGTTCTGGAAGAATGTATTTGGATCATAAGGCTCATTCCAACATGCCACAGGTGAAGCTCATTCATTATGCAATAGTGAAGCAGATGAGAAGTAATGGGAGACAATTTTTGCCTTTCAAAATATTATAAGCTCTGGATTTTCATAACAGAGTTCTGGAACAGGTAAGTGATTTGTCAAGAAAGCCTTTTGTAAGCCATGTTGAAATGGCTGTGCAGTAAGTGAACAGCCTCTGTCTTTGCAAGAAATTAACAGCCACCCCAAGCTCTTGATGTTTAAAGATATTAGAGAGAAAGCCTATCATCATCTGATCTTGGAACTGTTTAATGGGTTTTCTCTCTAGTAGTTAAATTGAAAGAATGATGCTCAGGTCTACTGTCTTCTCTTGGGAAAAGCCATACCGCCCTGGTTGGTTCTTTCAACGCTCTCCTGACCCCAGGATAGAGAATGCTACATTCTGAGACATCATGAGTGCCCCTCACTCTCATCTTTGGGAAATGAGGAGCAGCATCCATTCAAAGTGCAGCCAAAGATAAACTTGACTGTCAAGTTTCCCTCAAGCTGAGAAATTGGATGTGTCAGAAAGGGTGGAGTTTCAGAACTTGCTCTAAAAATAATGTGTCTGGATCTTGGCCACCATCTTAATGCTCTTCCTCTCTAGGCCCTCTCCCCATAAATGTCAAATGTGGCTGTCAGTAGGTTTAGCCTGAAAATAAAATCCCCTCACTTCCATCAAGAAATAGCTCCAAACTTAGAGTGTGTGCTCAAAATATTCATGATGAAATCATAATCCTGTATTTATAGTCTTTTGGATTGTGCATGAAATTCTGTTTCCCATGGTGGTTTTCGTTGAAGCGGGCACAGAGTGACCGAGAAAGCATTAGCTGCAGGGAAATGCTGTTCCGTATCGTTCTGAACTGGTTGGTTGTGAGAAACCCTCCCTCTTCCCTGTGCCCTATCCACTGCCTAATGAGTTGGGTTTACCCCCCACCCCATTCCCAGAAGGTCCCCTCTTTGATTGGTCCTGTCTTGTCCTCCAAGAAGAGCTGGCCTTCTGAGAAGGAAGTGGGGTGGGTACCTAAGATTATTCCCCTTTCCTCTGCATCTTTCCTGTCCTAGACTTCCTCCCCGTTTTCACTGAGGGAGATGGTGTGGACCTTAATGGTTGGAACTTGATGGTTCTTGTCAAGGCTGGGGGTTGAGGGCCCTACACAGCAGCAGACCTGCAAAAAGCTTTTACTTCTCACCCGGGCTGTGGTGCAGGAGGATTGGTCTTTGGACACTGTAATCCTGGCAGATCCACGGGGCATGGAAGAGAAAAATTTCCATTCACAAACGCCATCTGTCTTGGAGATCCTGTAGAAGGTCTCTCCTGATCCCACGGGGATGCGCACCGTGTCCTTGTGCTGCCCTTCCAGGGCCTGACTAGGCGGGTGCAGGGTGTAGCCCAGGGCATGTTTGGAAGACTGCCTTCTGCGGAGACACTGGATTCTCAAGACGTTCTGAAAGGCCTTTTTGAACTCTTGGCTGGAACATGGGTATATGATGGGGTTGATGCAGCTGTTTAGATATCCGAGCCAAAATACTATTTTAAAAACTGTTTCAGAGGGCTTGATATCAGGGAAGAAAGACCCTGGAAGAAAACACACAGATTGATATATATTATTTGCAAGACAGCAGGCCAGTTGGCTAGGAAAACAATCAAACAAACATCTTTCTGTGTTTTTAAAAAGGTTAAAATGATCCCAAACACATTTGAGTTTCTCATATTTGACTGACTAGCTCCTGTGACTGTCACCCTTTTGCAGTATCTTCAAAGACCATTCCTACTTGGTTCATGTGTGTCATTAATTACAGGAGCAGGCCCAGTGGATAGGGTTGCATTGGCTCACAGTGACCAATGCCTGCTGTGAAGTTTTACCAAATGAAAATGTGAAACTCAGACTGATCCCACATATGTACATTGTTTTGCCTAAATTGAAAAGTAAGTTGGAATCCATGCAAATAATCCGTATTAAAATTCAGTTACCTGAACATGCCCTTTATTCTCTGATGCAGTGTTAGGTAACAGACACAGCCTCAGTGTTTATGAATTCTTCCCCTCTCGAATATTAGAATTACGGATTTTGATGAGAATCTCAACTTCACACAATATTGGCCTTGTCAATGTTGGGCCAGTGATTCTCAATCACTTTTCCTAGATGATGTCTTTTGACGTCACCGTGAGTTCCCTTTGTCAATATCCCTCGATGACTCCCAAATGTGTGTCATTTGCTTCACATTCAGAGTCCTCCACAGCCCCTGGTCTGACCAGCTTTCTAATATGATTGGTTGTTATTTTTTCTCTAGCCAGACTCACTACACTTTTTCTCCAGGTCATTGGTCAATTTTTTTTTTGTCCTCTCAAGTTGGGCCACTGTGTCCTTGATGCCCTTTTCCACCTTCTCTACCTACCCAAACCCTACCCGTTGATGTGCATAGCAGGAACCCCGCCTCAGGACCTGTCATGTCCTGCACAGAGAGTGCCACGGGGCATTTGGCAGCAGAAGAACAAAACTGTGAAGTCTTAAAGGGGAACAATCTTAAGGATTATCTCCTCCAATTACTCAATTTACAAATATGAAAAAATGCTTATTTAGCCTTTACCCAGCTGCCGCCAAGACGCTCCGCCCTTCTGAGCTGAGGCCGCCTTGGGGTGAGGCCCTCACTGCATCCAGCACTAGCACTATTCCGGGCAGCCCAGCCTTGCACTTGTCCACACCACGGACTCCATCTCAGAGCTCGCCTGCACCGACTCAGCCCTCGTTCTGCATAACGCTGAGGGGATCATCACAGAGGATAAGGTCAATGTCCTTTCTAAAGCAGCTGGGGTAAATGATGACGACTTTTGGCCTGGCTTGTCTGCCAAGGCCCTGGCCACTGTCAACATCGGGAGCCTCCTCTGCAGTGGAGGGGTGGGGTGGGACGACCTGCTCCAGCAGCTGGTGGTGCATCTGCAGGAGGTCCTGCCCTTCCATCACTGCAGCCCAGGTAGAGGAGAAGAAAGTGGAAGCAAAGAAAGGAGAATCTGGAGTCTGATGATAACATGGGCTTTTTTTTTTTTTTTTTTTGAGTAAGCCTATTTTATAGCATGTTCAATAAAAAGCTGAACTCTTAAAAATGCTTATTAAAGAGATTGTCACAAACCTCATAGCTATAATACTGATAAGAGTGATGGATAAAGGGTATGGGACTCCCAGTCAAATGTTCTTTATTCTCTGATTCTCAGACTTCCATGGGCTTTTACTAAAGGAGCTTTATGAATTATGAAATCCCAATGTCCCTCTTCACTCCTTTCAGAGAAATTGCAAAATAACATCTTGACTTTCCTTCCACCTCCTTTCTTTTCTTTCTCCACTCCCAAGCTCGTTTTCCTTCTCCACAGGCTTTTAGCCACAGCTTTGTGTACAGTTGGCAGAATGGCTTTGGGAAAGTCCCATGATCCCTTTGGGCCTCCAGTTTTCTTATCTGAAAAAGGAGTAGGTTGAATGGATGATTCCTAATGGCCCTGAACAATTTTTTTGTTGTTGTTGTTTCAAACCTAAGGTCTTGATTTTATGTCTTTCTTTTCTTCTCTGCTCTGTGGACCTATCAGAGTCATGACAAATTGCTGGTGCTCTTAAAATCTACTCTGGCAAATGCTGCTGTGAAATTAAGTCAAAAAGTTCATCAATATAAACAGAGAGTAAACTTAAATACTGAAGATCCCAAAGAAGACAAAATATTGTGGTTGTTGATGGGAGCATTTATTATCTCTGAAGCAACGCTCCCTGCTAAGTTCCATGTATCTCAAATTCACACACACACACGCACACACACACACACACACACACAATGGGTGTTTATTTGGGGAAAAAAAAACATGTAAAGTGAGAAAGTTTTATTCTTTAGCTCTAAAGCTCTTCACATTGTCCTTTAATTATAATAAAGTTGACAGTCTTTGAATGCCTGATTTGAAACAGGCAAGGCAGTGTGCTGAACACTTTCCATATGATTTAATCATCATTAGTACCATGAAGAGTTATGTTACTCTTCCCTGTTTTACAAACGAAGAAACTGTGGCTTAATGAGTTTGAATAGATCAACTGAGGTCACTCACATAGTTACTGGTAGGTTTGAAATTGGGCAGTGTGATTTCAGGGCCCATGCTCCTTTATGGAATCTCCAAATATATTGGAATAATACATCTCTTAGGAGGATGGCCGATGGGGAGTGATAAAGTGTGCAGCTAGGGGAAGCTGAATTGGAAAAATTCTTTCTCGAACCTCATCTGTGATGGAAAAAATGGCTAATGCCAACATGACTGATGGTTTTGTGCAAATGCGGTCAGTTCCAGAAAAAAATTTGTCTTACATTATGATACCTATATATTGTCCAATATTTCCTCCTAATAGTGACAGTGATGTGATTAAGGAAACCCATTTCACAAAGGCCTGCCTGGGCCTGTGCTTAATGACTACAAGAATGTCTGAGCTGAGCACACCAAAAACTCACCTTGTCTGGGAATGTCACTACTCTGTAAATCAGCGAGGGAGGGGAGGATCTTTCCCTTATCTGAATAATTTCAATTTTTAAGAAGGACAAAAAATGCACTATGAATGTGAATGCTAATAAATATGACTCGAGAGTCTTGGAACTTCCCATAATTCCCTCAAGGACGCTCATTCTGCTTACAGAGCCCAGTTTTGCACTCATAAATCTCAACATTTCCTTTTAGTCACTTCCTTTACATCCCTTCTTTCCTTGCATGGCCCCGCTCTTAATTCCAGGTCTGGCTGACCCAGAGCCAAGCTCTTGGGCCCTCTCTCTAGTCTCTTGCTGCGTTCCTGTCTTCACAGGTGAATCCTGGACTCCCCCTCTCTGTACCCCACTCAAAACACTCATTTCTTCAATGTGGCTCAGGTATAGGTATAGGGTGAGAAAGAGAGTTGGTTAAAACTAATTTACACTAAGATCTGAATGTCATATAATCTCTAGCCCTAACCCCAGGAATATTTTCTTTTTAATCCAAGCAAATCTCTAGATTTTGGCTTATGCTTCCAGGCCAGAGACCTTCCTGTAAATGACAACGTTTGGTTTGTCCCATCAAGTGTGTGACAGCAGCCAGATGTGTGTAAGTGTAGCACGGATTTGCATGCTCACAAACTGACAATTCCACCAGGGCCAGGTTGCAGGATCCATTCTCATGCTTGGAGTATTCTTCCCTTGCGATGGGGAGCAGGTGCAGGGAGCCACGTAATTTTCTTTGTGCAGCTGCTGACTGGCTGGGGTTAGAGGAGAGACTCATAGCTGTGCTTCCTTCAGGAACTTTCCAAAGAGTGAGAAGAGACAGCAAAAGGGGTAGGCACGGTGGCTCACACCTGTAATTCCTGCACTTTGGGAGGCTGAGGTGGGCAGATCACTTGAGACCAGGAATTTGAGACCAGCCTGGGCAACATGGTGAAACCCCATCTCTGCTAAAAATACAAAAATTAGCTGGGTGTGGTGGCATGCGCCTGTAGTTTCAGTTACTCAGGAGGCTGAGGCAGGAGGATTGCTTGAGCCCAGGAGGTGGAGGTTATAGTGAGCCAATGCGCACCACTGCAGTCCAGCCTGGGCAACGGAAGTGAATCCCTGTCTCAAAAAAAAAAAAAAAAAAAAGAAAGAAAGAAAAAAAAGGACAGCAGAAGGGCAGCTCCTCTCCTTATTGACGTTATTCCCATCTACATATCTCTTCCTTCATTTTTCCTCTCCTAGGAAGGAGAGATGGGGCTGGAATCAGGCTTGGAAAGCAGCTGCCTGGTCCTATTCAGGGTTCCCTCCTCCTGCTCTCCCCTCCTCTGCCCAAACCTTTGCCATCTGTGCCCGTTTCTCTGAACTCTGCATTAGTTCTATCCCCAGCCTCCATTCTTCCCAAATCTCTTTCTTCATGAGGACTGGCAATGCTTTTTAGGGTGGGAAGACAGTTGGATAATGCTTGTCCCTGGCCTCCACCCATCAGGACCTAGAGTGTCAAGGCTGAACCAGCCTGGTTTAGGGGTGGGTGCCTCTGATCCAGTCACTGGGTGGGGAAGTCCATTTGAGCAACCGTCCAGCCAGCTTTGCTCACTCACAGAGCTCCAGAATCCAGTACAATGCTAGAGTCTTGAAGGCATTCTCCAAATTTTTGCTGCATGAATGGCCAACCTCCTGACTGACGGATGGACTGACTGACTGACTGAATGAATGGCTGTGTCTCTGTGTTCTTGCCATGGTTCTTCTTCTCAATGTGGCTTGGTTTTCTTCTCTGCTTGATGGCTGTAGCCTCATATTCTCTCCCAACCCTGCCTTCCTTCTGCTGTCTCATTCTCCTTTTTTGGCCCACCATTTATGTTCAGTCATTTGGTTTTTTTCTGTAATGCTATTTTGCTACCATTTTTTCCTTGCCCTATCATCTGGCATCAGACCCTCTAGTTTTTCTCATCATGCTTCGTAGGAAGAGCCGGACTTCCGAATCACCCACATGAGAATAGGAGCTCCTATTTTTTTTGGTCACCATAGCTATGGTTTTTCTCCTCAACAATCTCTGCTTCAAGAGGAGCCAACAGCTCCTGACTTAATCCCCTAAACACCTTGCCCTGCAGCTCAAGCCATCCTTTGCATGTGAATTTGCCTGGTTTAATTCTTGGGCTTTGGAAAATCCCCACACCCTAAGGACTATTCCTTTCACTGAGTTTCTTTCCACCATTTGCTCTGCTGCAGAATTTCTGCCTCTTTCTTGACCCTCTGGACACCCTGACCAACATACTACTGGTCAGACTGAGGTGGAGAGAACAGGTGTTTATGGCCAAACACCATCAACATTCTCATTCATGGAGATTCAGAATCCTCACTTCCACTGTAAAGGCCTCTAGATGCCAAGAAGATATTGAAATGAATAATTTAAAATGTTGCCTCTATGTTTTTCCACTGAATGCTATATCCATTGGGAACATCTTACTTCATTTTTGAACTGGGGCTCATCTAATAGGCTTATGGGGAGGGGGGCACTAGGAGTCATCCCAGGAAAGGCTTGGCCACTAGAGTCACCTTTTATAGCTATAAAATTACAGCAACATTTGCCTCAGTGACTCCAATACAAGATAAAACCATTTTTTTCCTGCCCATGCTGGTCTCTTTCATGAATTTGATACACCGGTGAGTGCTACGGTTAGCTTCAAAAGTCAGTGAGAGTAGGAACTGAGTTCTCAAATTCCCATCCAGCACTGGTCATTAGGGGGTTCCTCCTTAGTTCAACTGTTTCTCTCAGAATGAGGGTGACTTGATGTGGAAGCTGAAAGCTGTGAGTCAGTCTTCTTGGTTGCAGCCTCCAGCTTCTGTGCTTCATTTTACCCCCTGGAAAACTTGACATCTTAATGACAACTTTGAGAGACACTGGGCTATGGCAAACCCTACTTAGCTGGAGCCGCAGAAGGCTAAAATGTGAAAACTGGCAGGCACTTTGAGATCAGCGCTGTCAACCTGTCCTTTACAGGTGAAGACAGTAAGGCTGAAGATGGGAGTAGTTCCCCAAAATCACACAACTGGACCCAAAGTTGGTTCCACTTCACCCATTTCCACTCCTGATCTTTGTGTGCCATTTAGCAACCCTACGATGGCATGGAAGCATTAATGGCAATATGTCCAGCTTTCACTGAATGACAACAGGTTTTGCAGAGATATGGAGAAAGAAGAGGAGAGTAGTATCCTCAATAATTGCATTATTTTAAAAGTCAGAGTGTGCTGTTTAGAAGGGTTTGTCGGCAGGGCATCACATTCTGAGAATTGGAGTTTGAATGATCTCAATTTAAAAAAATGTTGACTCCAAAGAAGAAGCTAATGTTCTGTGACCATGGGATAAAATAACTCTTAATTGTTTCTCCTTGTCCAGTGAGTGGTCTCTCTGATGTGCCTGGTACACATCCAATGAGCAGAGGAGAGAGACAGGCTGCCACACCAACAGGCCAAGGAGCTCCAGTGCCAGTAACATTCAGGCCAGACTCGATGGCGCCTTCTTACCAGGAAGAAAACTGCCCCATCAAATTAAACCCCAGAGACAAGCTGTAGAGTCAAAGTTTAAGGGCAGACCATATTCTACCAGATGCCTTTGTGCTGAACTACTTTGGCCTGAGCCCTCCTGGGGTTTATGTGGGGCCACTTGGGCAGCTCTCAGTCAGCAAGAAGTTTTTGGATTATCTACCCTAGATGGTGACCAGGGCTGTCTAAGAAGGTGGCCAGAATAACCATGGACTGTAACCTTAGGCGTGAAACCTCAGGTTCACAGACAAACTTCCCATGATTGACATTAAATGTGTATGCCCAGAGATACATTTTCCTGGGAAGAGCCCTTGGCTTGTATTAGCTTCTCGCGGTGGTCTCTGGTGATAGTAAAGATGGTTCAGCCTGGATTCCAGGTAGAGAGGACAAGCTGTACCCTGGCTGGGGAACCCCACTTAGCCCGTATGTCCTAATGATAGAATCAAGCTTACCAACAGAGCAAGCAGATGTGACTTCAGTGCCTCTTTGGAAGGACTTCACCAGTCTTTTCTTCCCCGATTTAACTGGGGCCTGAAATTGTACAGCTCTCCACTCATGTATCTGAGTAAAGTCATGTGCATGCTCACTTGAGAGTGTTGGTATGTGGAGTCTTTTCTGAACTTTCTGGCAGAAAGCATGAGTGGTTGGCAAAGTGAAGAAGGTGGCACTGAGCAGGAATGGAATTAGCTCTCCTCCTGCATGGAGCAAAGCATGGGAACATGGCATGGGAGGGTGCAGTGAGTAAGGGGAACCGGGCACACTGTGCGGGGTACTCAGTCCCAAAGGAGGCAGACTCGGGGCACCCTGGGGGCCTGCCCAGTGTGGGATGGAAGTGCTGCCCACTTTTCCAGGGACCTGGGGTATGTTGGTCTATGATTACTGTGAAAAAACATTGCTCTTTCCAATCCAGGCACGGAAAGAAGTCACTTGGGGAGATGTCCTCTCATCCCTCAAACTTCTGCAAGTGGCAGCTAAAGCTCTCTTGACAGGATCTGTCTGGCTGGCCAAGAAGAGCTCTGCGGAATCAGGAACTTCATCCTGGGTGAGTCTGAACTGCTTGAATTAAAACTTGTCAAATGGTTTGTCTTGCCAGTTAACAAAGCCTAAGCAGCATTTCTCCTTTTAGGATAAAGGAGCAGGTCCACCTGAATGCATGATTTGGACCCCAATGCCCATAGGAACGCTGGAAAGAGTAACAGGGGACCCCACATGCAAGCATTTCCCCCTAGAAGACCTCCTTGCATTGAATAAATAATTTGATTTGAAAAACTCTCAAAAGATAGCAAGATTCTCTACCCCACCCCCTTTATTTAAAATATTATTTGTTCAGGGAAAAGCTAGCGATGAGGAAGTCATCATGTGCTTTTATGGGCTGCTTCCTTTAAAAAGCAGATCTGCTTTCATAAGCCAGTGTGTTTTCCAAGCCTTGTCACTTTCACTAAGGTCACCATTGTTTCACGAGTCTTCCATTTAAAACATTTTTTAATTGTCTCTGCACAAAAGCTCTCCCTGAGACCACCCAGTCTAAAGAAGAGTAATCTTCAAACTCACACCTGCTGAATGGCTTATTTATTTCACGGTACATATCACAGTTTTTATGTTTTCTTATTTACTTGTTTTCTTTGATTGTCTCATCCTCCAGAGCACAGATGATATGCTCTCCAATGGCAGGAGACCAGGTTATCTCTCTCACTATAGTGTGAGGTGGGGGCAGGAACCCAATTAACAGTTCCTGCCAGAAGAATGTGTATCGAGTTCCTTCTCCCCTTTTTTTGCTTCTTACATTCCAACTGGTCACCAAACCCCACAGGTGTCTTTCCTTGAAACACCTTCCAAATTTGCCTTCTCCATCACCTCCATCCGCAGCACCCCTGAATGGTGAACTGGTTATTTAAAGCTGGGTGAGTCATTTTTCCCTCTTGGGCCTCAGTTTCCTCATCTGTAAAATTAAAGACTTAGAACAGTAATTGATACTACCCCTTCCTATCTGTAAGAGCAGATGCTTCTAGGCAAATGGAAACAGTCAAAAGGGGAAAACAGGCCCATGACAAGCAAGATGATGAAGAAGCATGGTGGAGAGATGGCCAGAAGGGAAGAGGGCAGGCTTTGGAAGGAAGAGGGAAACCTGAGGTTTGGGGGAGGGCTTTGGGAGGACATCCTGATGTCTATCCTAGAGATTTACTCTGAGATCACAGAAAGGAGGGATGGGAGGAGAATCCAAAGGCTGCTGTCATGGAGTGCACCTGCATAGGGACCCAGGCAACTGTGATTGCACCAAGCGGGAATGGAATTAGCTCTGTTCCTGCTTGGAGCACAGCACAGTTTGGGCTTCTGGTCGCGTCAGAACTCATGTGCTCCTTAATAATACATGGGCCGCAGACCTCCACATCTGAGGCCTGGGAGGCTAAGGCTGTGCTCATCTGGTCCTTTCCAAGGAGATGGGATGGAAAGGGTAGAAACCATGGGGGAAAATTCCCAGAAATAACTAAAGGGAGGGGAGGCTTATCAAGGGGCTCAGTATTGTAGCTAAAGGAACCTCATAATGGGGTATCTGCCAAGACATGTGTTATGCATTATCTTTTTGCTGCTGATAAGATCAAGTTCAAGCTTCTCACTCTGTCATTCAAGGCCCTTCATCATTTGGTTCCACCAGTCCTACACAACCTTCTCCATTCCTCATTCACTTAACACATAATTTACTTAGCACCTGCTCAGGCCAGGCACTTCCATAGATACTGGAGGTAGAACAGTCAGGAACATGCAAAGGTGTTTACCTTCTATGAGTATCTCCAACAAATGCCTAAGTTGGAGGCATTTGTTGCTCCAACAAATGAATTATGAGTTTCCAATACCAAGGCTTTCTTCCTGCCACAGTAGACTTTTCACTCTAACTTTGTTAGTTCGCGAGGTGACTGTGACCTCAAGCTCCTGTGGTTGTGGTTCTCTGCTGCACTCTTCTGCTCTTCACTCAATGACCTGTCCCTCTCCCCTGTATCTACTCAAACTGGAATCTGTCCAATTCTCTCTGTCTTCAAGGCTGTGTTCAAAATCCCACTCATCGACAGGCCCTTCTTTGTTGCAGTATAACTTGCAAGAAATTGCCATTTCCTCTATGGATTTAGCACCAGTTACTTTTCTCTATAGCAGGGGAAACCCCCGGGCCACAGACCATACCAGTCTGTGGCCTTTTAGAAACTGGGCTGTACAGCAGGACGTATGTGGTGGGCCAGCAAAGCTTCATCTGTATTTACAATTTACAGCCTCTCTCCATTGCTCACATTACCTGTCAGATCAGCAGTGGCATTAGATTCTAATAGGAGCAACAACCCTATCATGAACTGCACATGCCAGGGATCTATGTTGTGTGCTCCTTATGAGAATCTAATGCCTGATGATCTGTCACTGTTTCCCATCACCCCCAGACAGGACTGCCTAGTTGCAGGAAAGCAAGCTCAGGGCTCCCACTGATTCTACATTATGGTGAGTTGTATAATTATTTCATTATATATTACAATGTAATAAGCATAGAAATAAAGTGCACAATAAATGTAATACACTTGAATCATCCTGAAACCATCCTCCCATCTCCAGGTCCATAAAAAAGTTGTCTGCCATGAAACCAGTCCCTTGTGCCAAAAAGATTGGGGACCACTGCTCTATAGCCCTTATCACCATTTTCTGTGCTTTACTTATTTCTATTTTTGGTTGTTTTTCTTGACTATAAACTCCCTTGAAGGAAGAGATTCTTGTCTTTTAAATTTACTGCTGTATCCTCAACACCCATAACGGTGTACAGCATTTAGTAGGCTCCCAACAATGTTGCTGAATGAATGACACATTCAGTCCTCGTGGTTTTAGTCTCCTTAAAGATACACCGTCCTTCTTATCCTTCATTCGTATCTCTCTAAGTGATCAACATGATTCTCAATGAATGTTTATTGAACCAATGGATGACATTGGTTGATGGAAGAAAACAACATTTTGAATACAACTCCTGCTTCAATTACTCACAGCTGGAGATAGATTCTCAAATGCAGAAACGGAGCCTGTCTTAACTTACATTCCAGGGAGGTCTTTCAGATCTTCAAGACACTCACATTTATTTACATGAAAACAAGACCATTCTCCAAATAATTTTATACAGCTAAGTTGCAGGCACTTCATAAAATGATTACTTCCAGTACTTATAAAAACATTTTATGCAGTCCTGGAGGAAGGGTTGAAGCCTATAATTCAGATGTGATAGTCATCATCTCCTCTCATATTTGTGGGATTCAAGTCCAAGGCCAAACACCACACGTCTGAAGCAGCGATGCAAACAACCAAAACTGATCTCCCAAGGAGGAAGTGTGAGGCTTTCTCAGGACTGTGTCCCTTCGTATTCAGCTTAAAGGCTAAAGCAGGTTCAGGTCCTGATCCTTGCCAGCAAGGACATAGGTGAGTTGGCTGATGCTTGAGTAGTCACAGGTGAACAGGGGAGCAGGAAAATGGGTTTTTGGTTCTGGACTGCTGCAAAGATACTTAATCTGAGTGCTCTGGACAGTTCCGTACTTGGAGAGGACATACCGGGTCCTCTCCCGGGCCACTGGCTCACCCAGAGGCATGGCCCTTGCATCTTCCAACAGCATCTTCTAGCTCTGTGCAAAGTAGGAATATGAATAAACCCTTGCTCTTCACTCCCAGCTCCTGCACAGCTCCCTCCCCTGCCTGAATTAAGCTAGGGATGAAGATTGGCTGTAGGTCTCTGCTGTTATAAAGCTGCATAAGATTTTATACAGCTTAGATTTTATACATCTGGACTAGATCACCTGACCAGGGCCTGACCTCCATCAATCATGGGTCCTGTATTCAAATGGACATAATACATATATATATAAGAATTTTAATAGCTCATTTAAAACATGAAAGATGTCTTTTTGGAAGCTATAATATAGCTTCTAAGTATAGCTGGGCAGACCAATTTTAAAATGCAGAAAGGGATTGGGGCAATTTCCTCTTTAATTTTAAAAGGCAATAGAGTATGGTACTGTTTTGATTATAGACATTTTTGCAAATAGGAATTGGCCATGCCTCCTTCTTTCATATAAATGCCACATTTAGAAAGCTCAGCTTTGCTTGCAAGACACATCCTTGCTCTTTTCAAACTTAACGAAGCCTTCTGCATTCTCATCTGAGAACTGGCTGGTACTTTCAGGGGGAAGAGCAAGGTCAGGGCAGCTCATTCATTTCATACCTTTAGTTTCTTTCTTTTCCCTGATGACTTGCAAATCTCTATGCCTAGACCATCTCTGCCTCCTGAGCTCCTGTCCTGCACACACAACTTTTACCAGACATCCCTCCTGATGTTTCCAAACTATCTCATCCTCAACATCATCAAGCTGAACTCATCATCAAGCTGAACTCCCCATCTCCCACAAAACCGACTCTTGCTCCTCTGCTTCACTTTTGGCAGCCTTCCTCTCAGTTGTCCAAGCCAGAAACCCACTGTCATCCTCAACCTTCCACTCTCCAACCTCTTCCACAACATCCAATCACCCAGCCCTGACTACGAAACCTGTGTTCACTTGCTATTGTCCATTCCAGTTCTGGCCACCACCACGTCTAGCTAGAACCTCATATCAGTTTTCTAACTGGGCTTCCTGCTTCTGGTCTTATCTGCTTCCAACCCATTTCTCACACTCTTGCCAGCGAGATTCTGAGAAAGCAAGCATGACACTATCCCTCCCTTGAGTAAATCCTTTCAATGATTCTTCGCTGAATTAAAGATGAAGTATGAGTTCTACATGAAAATTTATTAGGCCTGGGAGACTGAAAATTCACTTGACTGGTTAAGTAGGTAGTAGAGCATGGTAATCCAAGTGCCCACCCAGAGACTCTAGTCAGTGTCATAGAAGAGCAGAGAATTACATCTGCCAGGATGTGATCATTTGCATAACTGTTAGCTGAGCAATGTGGAATCTTTTGTTCACTAGGATGTAGGCTAGCGTTATAGTGGTTGAGATATATAGAATTTAATTTTAAGAAATAAATATACATCTTCTATAAGGCAGTGCATCCACCAAAAAACTCTTCCCAAGGCCAAATAATATTAAGAATGAATTTCCAACTGTTCCAGAGATAGTGGTGACAATGATTCAGAAAGTTTTGTAAAACCTGGAAGACCCAAGACAGGCATAAAAATACCTGAAGGATCAACAAGAGAAGTGGTAAAAATACCATTTGACCCAACAATCCCATTACTGGGTGTATAACCAAAGGAATATAAATCATTCTATTTT